CGGGGGGGGGGGGGGGGGGGCAGTCCTGCCACCCCTCTGCAGCTGCCCAGCTCCTCACCCATCAGCAGGCCCCCTCCTTGCTCACAGTTCTGGTAAGTTGTTCCAGCTCTGCCCTTGTAGACAGTCTAATTCCTACCTGTTGAACAGTCAAGAAAGGCTAGTGTTAAACTGATAACCTGGAAACATGCTAAGAGGGGTTTGGTCCTTTACGTGTTTTTTCAAAGGCTAAGATAAGCAGGTAGCACACCAAAGAATATCACATAAACTGCTGCTGACACCAGTTTGACAGGTCCTGCAATCAAACCTCAAAGACCTCCAGCTGAGTCCGTTCCAACTGCAAACCTGCTCCCAATTTTCTCAGAGTGGTTTTAATTAAACTTTTATGTTCAACCAGAAAGAGTTTTGTATGCAGGCAGACCTCTGCAGCCAGTTTAATGAAACTGAAGGTATCAATAAAAGCCAGAATATATTAAGCATATATTTGAAATGGTAAAATTATTTTTAGAAAAATCCAAAGAAGTCTGCAAAGGCATTGATAATAAATGTGCCCCTTGCAGACTTGCGTAGATGAAAATTAAGTGATTCACTTGCTGAAATGAAACACGCAGTTACGTGGTCGGCTCAAGTGTGAAAGCTCTGTCACTTACACAGCAGCCTCCATTTAGAATTACTGGGAAGTATGAAAGCACTGAAGGGCCTCCCTCATGGACCAGATGCCATTGTGCAAGGCGCTGTGCAAGCGCCGAACAGAAAAAGCATGAAGAGCTCCTTGATGCAAACAGCACAAAACACCAAATAGATATTAACAGAGGAACAACTGCATGGAAATTAGGAGAAGACATTGGCCAACAAGATAAGGAGAAGCCATAATATAGCTCTCACCACCTGCTATAGCGAGTGAGATACTACTCCATTTTAGAGGAGGTGATCAACACCCAATGCTTCCTTGAGCTGGAAGGAACCAGGGGACATCAGCTTCATGCCAGCCTGTCTCTGGGCAGCACAGCGCACCCGAGACAGCCGAATCCGGCCCTCCAAATGGTGACAGAGATCTGGCACCAGCTCAGGGAATACACCCAAACTGCAGTGGTGCTTGCCAGGACGCTGCACGCCCTCCCCAGGCATGTTGCTTAGCACACTCTTTTAGCTTCATGATTTGAAACAAAGCAAGAAGATAAAAGTCATCCAAGGCCTTTAATTTTCGGTAGCCGGCGTAGTGCAACCACTGCACTGTGGCAACCGAGAAGAACATAACAGGGCTGAAGGGCCGTCCTTGTTGTAGCGCCCTCACGGCATGGTGATGCTGAGATGCCCCCACTTCCCAAAGCCTTGCACTTAGAAGTTCTCACCTGGCAGCAGCACTGCCTCTGCTCTCCCTGCCCATGCTGTCAGGGGAGCTGGATGGGCGGTGGGCAGCAGGGAGGGGGTCCTCATCTCCCTAACTGAGGAGCACGAGTGCATGCTCCTAGTGAGAGACAGCTCTCACAGCCTGTTCCCAGCCACTATGAACACAGGCATTTATTATTCAAATTTAAATTGCAGAAGCTATTCTTGGTGCTATGGTACTGCCTAGGGCGCCAGCTGAGATCAGAGCTTGCCCTGTTCAAACCTGAAAGGTTTTTAATCTAATTAAACAATAGGCGAAAGTTGGGAGGGAAAAGCAGAGACAGAGAATTGAGGTGAGTTTTTTTAAGACAATGGCTCTGGGCTAGGAGCCACGGTTTGCTGGCTCCCACCCCTGCTCCCTCACCTGGCTTTGGGATGCTCAGGCATTTCTCCTTAGAGCCATGACGTCTATTCCAAATGTCCGACTTGGGATCAGTGTCCGACTTCTTATACTGTGGCACTCGAGCTGCTAAAACAAATCCCTCTGTGTTTCTGTTTGTGCATAGGTCATAGCTCTGGCTACAGCCTAGTATAAATACACACATGCAAGCTTCATGTCAGCTAGGTCCGATATTGGCACCAGAGAGCTTTGCATGGATTAACCTCCCATGCCTTCACCCAGCTCTGTGGTGAAGGGCTGCAGCCAGTGCCGTATTCACGGCCACCGAGACCCTAACTACCTAGTTTAAACTGAGCTTGGGCACATCCACAGTACACTGCAATTATGGCCACAATATTTTCTAAGGAGCATCATAACAACTAACCAGAATTAACATGAATCATAACATAACCGTATTAAACCCACCCCACTATTAGCCACATTTTCTAAATCTTCTTTTCCTCAGTAACCGAAGAGCAGTGTCAGGGGAGGGTGTGTGTTGGCTGGCACCACACAAAATAAAAGCTCCTAGCTAATCATTTAGTCAGCTCCCCGCCGGTGCGGAGAGGGCAGCCAGCCTCCAGCCAGATGCCTGAATACTGCAGGCTGCTCTTGAACCTCCCATTGCTCTGCGCCTGCCCCACCTCAGCCACTGTGTGTTATGCCAAGCGCTCTTTTTCTAATGAGAGCTGTCAGCCTGGACAGATGAAATGTCCAATCACCTAAACACTGCTGGGGGTGCTCTGCCACCAGAAGGAAGTGGCTGAGTTGGAGCTGGTCTTCTTTTCCAAAGAGCAGATAACGATGCTTTATCTACATAGCATCCTGCATGACTTTGGAGCTTTGAAAGTGCTTTTCCCACCCAGAAAAAAAAAGAAAAAGCAGAAACCAAGATATTCTTACAGAAAAATTGACCTCAGATCTTTAGAACCATTTTTTAAAAAAATCCACAAATTTTAGATATAAAAACATGTCTTACTGTCAAAATACAGCCACAGATGAACTTTCACGTGGCTACCAAGTGCAAACTGATAGCAAAGTATGGAGCCCTAATAGTCTTAAAAGCTGGCACATTGCAAGAGATCTTCTGCTCTGCTTCATGAAGTGAAGTGAAGCTGGCAGAAGGCGCTGGCAGGGGATTATTTTCTCTGCCTGTGCTGGCCTTGCCTACAGCTGCAGTCCACACGCAGGCTACAAAACAGAGCTGACAAGGTGCCCTCTCAGCTCACTCAAGCCACAGTGCAGGGATGCAGCTTGAAGGAATCCAGTGCAGGATCACGGTGGTGTGAAGCAAAGGGTGGGCTTTGCTCGGTGGTAGGGCTACCCCGCATGCCAGATAACGTAGGAAGGGAGCAGCGATGCTCCTCTTCAACAGTGGAGTCCAGTGAAGTACATCAAGTGCTGCCTGGTACAGCTCCTGGCCACAGCCTGAGCCACCGAGTGGGGATTGGAAAGATGGAAGAGGGGAAACTGTGGCTGCAGCGTGATGTGGGGATGCCTCTCCCCCAGCTCGCTCGGACGTCAGAAGCAGTGTAGCCAGGCTAGCACCCAGCTCCCAGCCTGGCGTGCTGGGTAATGAAGAAGGTGGGTGAACAGCTGGGCAGCCAGGCTGTACCAAGCTCCTCCGCAAAAGCCTGCCAGAGCTCACACCCTCACGTTAAAGTTGGAGTTTGGCGATGTCTACGTGGCAAAGCAAGGCTTAGAGCTCAGGCACCGCTCTGACCACTCTGGCTCTCACCTTGAGTTAATCCCCCTGCCTGGTCCTGCACAGCATCAGTGGTCGGACCAGCTCAGGTTAGTGCCTGCCCATGGAGATGGCCCAGGGATCACATTATTGTTTTCCATTCTGTAGGTCATCCTAGGAGTCCTTTCCTGTAGATGTCCGCCACAACTGTACACAGAAAAGAAGTATACAGGGCTTGTGAGGAAAGGCAGGGACTGGAAATCTTTTCAGACTTTAATGCTGTCCTCTTGAAGTCTCCACAGAGTTACCAAGGGAAATGTTTTCAGAAGTCTCCACTTCTAGGGAATTATTTTGCTTCTGGGCACCCTGTGTAGAGATACCATAGCTGCAGCATTCAGGAGAATAGGGCACCCATAATTCCCAGGTCTTTTTAAAATCACTGGTCTGGGTCTTTCTATTCTTCCTCAGTTTACCTTTCTGCAACAGAGGAATCATAATAGTTTGCAACCTTAAAAAGATGCAGAGAGTTTCAGTTCCCTGATGTTTGTGCTTCATGGTCTCCAAACAGAAGCTAATTTCCATGTCCAAACACAATACTTATTTTATTATCTTCTACCAAAGTAGACGTTCACCATCCTGGAGACTCTGAAATCACTGTGGTTTTTTTTCCCCTGTTAATGCAGATCACTCTCTACTCTGAAAGGTTTGAAGAATTTCAGAAAACACTGACCAAAAGCAATGAAGTGTTTGCCACTTTCAAACAGGAGATGGAGAAAGTGAGTAGCAGCTCATATCTGAACTCTGTGCTTGACACTTTCCTTTTAGATTTTGATATTTTATGCAATAAAATTATGCAATTATTTTTAATTAAACAATGATTTTTAATTAATATTTTTAAATTATTAATTATGCAATAATTTTATCTGGGATGGGGCCATTTCTGCTCATTTTGAAGAAAAATCTCATCAACATCTAAATAAGGTTTGGGGCATATGCGGCCATGACCGACAGCAGCTTAGACTTCAGCACTGCAAGCCAAACATTTCACTCTCCCTTTCAACTAAAAATGAAATTGCCTGGAAGAATGAACATTTTACCTAAAACCTAATGTGGTGGTTGGGTACAGACCCCTCAGAGATACCAAAGGGGGAGTCTGGAGGTGCATTTGTCAGCCTATGTCTCCAGGAGTGCCCAGAGCCTCCTGGGTGACTGACACTGGTACAGAAATGTTGACACAGGCTACATGTCTTCCCACTGGAGTGTGCGGGCAGAGCTGAAGCCCACCAACACCTTCCCACCATTAAGCCCAAATGACCGTTTCCTTGCAGCTGGTGTACTTATTTCCTGTAATGAATGGGAGGCAAAAAACAAACGCACCCACATGTTGTTCCCACTTTCATAATAAACAATGTTCTGCTCTGCCACCAGGGCCCAAAATCCTGGTGCCCTGATCCAGGCAACCTCTAATGATCTTCACAAGAGAGTTCAGCCTGCAGAAAACCAAAGGGAAAGATGGTGCTGTTTAGCCAGTGGTGTGTGCTGGAGGTAGTATAGAGGTGACTAATTCAGTGGGAACTCCCTTGGCAGTGCTGGCTCAGAAGATACAAGCCCTTCTTTAACTTCCCAGCAATCTAACACTCTGGTCTGGTAAAGAGACAAACACCTTTTCTTTGCCTTTTGTTTTTGTGATAGTTTGTACTCTAGGAGTTGGCTATACTTTTACACACATAATCAACTGGTCCTACTTTAGGACTACAGACTGGAGGCTGAAAGTTATATGGCAGCTACTTAAAACTAAATCCATCCCTTAACATCAATTACTACTTAGCACAGCCACTACAGCTGCTGGTAGCAGCATTATGAGTACAGCCAAAGACCTAAATAAAAGGGCTACCCTAATTTAATCTGCAGTGTGGAATTCCTGTTGTGATTCAGCTTTTCCTTCTGCTTCTATAGATGACAAAGAAAATGAAGAAGTTGGAAAAGGATACTGCTACGTGGAAATCCAGGTTTGAGAACTGTAACAGAGCATTACTGGACATGATTGAAGAGGTGAGCGGTCTTTTTTTTCTCAGGATGCACCCCTTCCCCCACATAATGCTTTAACTAGGAGATGAGATGACCTGAAATCGCCAAAAGTCAATGAAAAATTTGTTCTTGAATCGAATGGTCTTTTTTTCAAGCTACCTTGATAATTAGATGTCTTTAAAGAAAGAGACAAAAATCCCAACTGCTGGGGCTTTTAGATTGTGCAGAAACATTCATTACGTCCACGAGAAACTGAATTATGTAACTGTGAATTTTAAGTGCTGTAAAAATGTGTGGTTGTTAATGCTCTCACATAGAAGCAAATTGGCATTAGTTCACTTCACGCTACTTTCTTTCTCCATAAGAGCATCCACCCAGGGAATTAATGTGCTCTAGCTAATGAACTTTAAATTCACGCCTTTCATTAACTTCCTGTGTAGGCAAACTCTAAGAGTCAAAATCAAGTACTGTGGCTCACCATAGTTTTAAACATGCTGTCACAGGGGCGTTGCAGAGGAAATTCATAGGCATGTTGGAACTCGTTCAAATAAGATAAAAGCTGCCTGAAGTTTCACCCAAAACTTACACTGAACTTGGACCAGGTCTTTCTGGTTGGCTTTGTAGCTCTGTGCTATTGCTATTTCTACGGGTTTCTGTATCTCTTGTTTCCTCACTGGGTGTAGAAGCAAGAAAATGTTCCAATTCTGGCTGCTCTCACAGAACCTAGAAGCAAAATAAGCAAAAAATATAATACAGCTTGTTTTCCCCAAATTTCACACCCATGCCCACCGGAAGTCCAGGTAGGCTTTTGGATGCTTCTCTGTATGAACATCCACTATGTTCTTCCATCTCTACAGATCATCGGCAGGTATTCCTGCAGATATTTTTGAGTGAAATTGATCTGAATCTGTATGGTGAATGCTAATACACTGCAGTAACAGGGGTGAATTTCCTCTCGAAGCTTCAGTACAAAACACCGTCGTTATTGCAGAGCAGTTGGTGAAAGCCAGCTACCTTGCAGAGTCCCACGAAGGCTGCCTAGATCTCAGATTGTTTCCTAATTGCCAGTTCCACCAATGAATTGCATGCACATGAACTCAGTCTGCACCTTTGTCTAATGTCTTTGACCACAGAAAGCCATGAGGTCCAAGGAATATGAGTGCTTCGTGCTAAAAATCCAGAGGCTAGAGAACCTTTGCCGGGCTCTGCAGGAAGAGAGGAATGAATTGTACAAAAAAATAAAGCAAGCACAGTTCCCTGAAGAGGTGAATGGAATTGGCATCTTAGAAGAAGAAGAAGATGCTGACGTGAGCCCGTCCTCCTCTGAGCAGGCGAGCATTGAGCTGCGCACTGCTGACGAGAACATGCTGAAGGAGCTGGCTGAAGCTTTCAGGGTGTCCCACAAGGCAGAGGCATCCCTCCCGAGCAACAGCAGCAATCCAGAGACCTGTGACGCTCAAACATGTAATGCTGTCCTGGTGCCAGGTCTCCCCTCTCCTCTCACCCCACGGTCAGAGGCTGGGAATCGCTGTGAGCAGCCCGGCACGAGCACGCCAACGCCCACTGAACACGTGCCAGCACCCGCTGGGAGCATGCCAGCGCCCACTGAAAATATGACAATGCCCACCGAGAACACGCCAAAGCCCACCAAAAGCATGCCTGCCCTCCCAGAAAGGGTGCCAACACCCACAGAAAGTGCGCCAATACCTCCTAAGAGCGTGCCAGTACCCACAGGGAATATGCCAAAACCCATTGAAAGCATGCCAGCAACCCCCGAAAACGTGCCAACACCCACACAAAACATGCCCACTCCCCTTGGGAATATGCCAGTACCCACAAAAAGTGCACCAAAAGCTGCAGAACGTGTGGATGACCCAGCAGAGCCATCTGTCCACGGTCAGTCCGCAGAGCAAACAGGGGACACAGACATGGAAGCAGTGGATTGAAGACACTGGTGTGTCCAGGCTTGTCTTCTACAAACCACAGCTCTATTTTGTCCTCTAAATTGATACCTTTTTTTTTTTTAAAGAATCAATAAGTGGGTGCTAAAACACACTCACATATCTGTAGGCAAATGTAATGCACTTCTCTTTGCTACCACTATCCAGTAATAATAGGTCTGCAAATTTTGCTGTCCTTCATCTGCTTGAACTACAATATTTTCTTAATGACAGGAAAATACAACGAAATTACAGGATCTTTTTTCCCAGGCATAATGAGTCATCTCATTCAGCAAAATAATTTAAAGTGTGGAAGTTTCATGTTTCAAAAATCATTGCAATTCACATACATATATTTAAAGACTCATAATTAATTGTATCTATTTGTCATGATGTTGCATAAAAGATGGCCTACTTGGACACGTAGTGATTTTAATAAATGAGGTGAAAGGAATCTGTAATTACAAAGTAAAATAGTGAAACCATCGATGTGGTCAGCCATATCCAAGGAGAGGTGCAATAACAAAAGGTGAATTTTTGTACGACTAAACTACCACTCAGCACTGTGGCCTGAACACCCACAAGCTTTCAGCCTTACCTTGAATTGGTTTTTTCTGCTTAGTGCTCTAAAAGAGGCTTTGTTTTCAACAGAACTACAGGGGAGGGGAGAAGATCTTTTCTAGATTCCTCATAAAATGACTGAAAACAACAGCAATTTCCAAATGGATGGCAATTCCCAAGGTAGGAGTCACAACCCTCTTTCTGCATGCAACAGAAACCTGCTAGCTTGTCATACTATTTGGGATCACGAGCCCAACAGAGGGGCTTATGGCTGTTTCCAGCCCGCAAATGAGGTCAGACGTTCAGAAGTTGGTTGCAGATGTCAGCTTCTAGGCTAGGAGCAGGGTGGAGCTACACTAGAAGGTACCAGGATGTATTCCAGAAGATACCCCTGAGATCATGCTTCCAGATTGTCCCATCTCTCCTAGTCATAGCCACGTGAACCTCTTCACCACCGCTTCCTCCTGGCCCTGCTGCATGTGCTGATGCTCCCAGGAGAAGGGCGAGCACACTTGTCTGTCACCCCGTTGGTTGGAGTGGAGCACAAGTAAATAGCCCAGAAGCAAACAGGTACCAGGAAAGCAGGAATCCCTCTCACAGGCACCTTCACAGGGACTGACTACATTCTCATCCCCTCCCTTGTCTAACAGGCTCTTCCCATCTGCCTGCCAGCACACCACTGTTTAATAATGTAGCCACCTTGTCAGAAACTGGTTGATTTTGGCATCAAGAACAAAGATGAAGAAGGAAGGGGGCAAGAGAGGGTACCTACCCAGACAGCTGTACGGTCTCAAGCAAGGAGAGTAAGAAGGCTTTTTGGAAGAAGGTTAAAAAAATCCTGTTGGCACATTTCTTGTTTCTCATCCCCTTCCTCCGAATTCAGTCTAGGCCTTTTGGAGTCTGAGCTGGATAGCTTAAGAGTTTGAAAAGGCTAATTAAACAAGATGTCCAGAGGCTGGAAAGGGAAATGTTGCAAGCAAACAAACCCATGTGTATAGACAAATCCCAAGAAGCCCCTGAAGACAAAGTGACTCATTCAAGCCGAAGTTGAAATACAGGTGAACCAAGAGAAAAGACACCATCTTTGGCAGACCGTGGGAGACTGTGGTCACAGAGTCCTTCTGGCACACCACTCTCCAAAAGCTCTTTGCTTGCTGCCTACATGGTCCGCACCCTGGTTGTGTATGTCTGTGTCTGCACTGCTTGGTCCAGCCTTTTTGAGAGCTAACTGTTGGAGTACACAGAGCACGCTTCACAACAGTTTGTTTTGATATGGCCTTACGAGTAGCTATTATGGCTACAGTTTTTAAATGTGGATGCCTTACGTTAGATACCAAGACCGATGGGATTTATTTCATGTCTTTAATCACCTGAAAGTAGATCATTCAAGTCTTAGTTACCTTAAGCTCCTTTTATACGCAGTGGAGAAGAATAGGCATCTTTCGAGGACAAGTCATGTCATGGTAAAACTGGCATCCAAGATGGAAGAAATTACTTTCTCTCTGAAGATGCCATTTCTCTTCACTGATTCTAGAGCCAGCCTAAGACAACTAGCTTAAATTTAAAATGTCCATTATTAGATGTCTAAATTAGGCAAGATGAATGCCATCAAACATTCAGATTCAAAGCCCTAAGCAAATGGCCATCTCTGAAAACCAAGCCAGTTATGTGCCTGTGAAAATGTTAACCTATAAAAAATCCTTATCCCAAGATAAAAAGCTATACACACTTGATTTACTTTTTTCAGTTTCCATTGACTTTAGTCTGTAGAAATCTAGTTTCCATTACAAGTACAAGTTTTGTTTGTTGTTAGGGTGACTTTTAAAATTAATGCAATTTATATACCCATTAATGATTTTTTTCTTTCTTGGTCTTGTTTGATTCGGTTGCCATTTTAGTAACTGCCTGCATGTAACCAACTTCTTTTTCTTCAAGTAGGCCCTTAGAATGCCTTTAATTGTTGAAGCTTTCTTATACATTCAAATATTCAATTACATAATAATAATGATCGACATGACCATTAACTTGGTTCCATTTTGCATAATCATTACGGTCGCATCTTTAATTATATAATTGTTGCCTCATACCTTCCAAATTCAGCAAGCAGGGAGACAAGGATCCTACAGATAAAACCTTCCCACATAGTCATGATTGATTCTTACAGCATCATCCCTCATGAATAATTACACAGCCTTCTGGGAAAATCACTCCCACTCTATTCCACCTTCCTCATTTTTGCCCTTTTAATTCTTGCATCTAAAACTGCACTCACATACTTGCAGTTCCTATTACTCTCTGAGTTTCTACCCACATACCTGTTGCTTCTCTTCTTCCATACCATCTACCAACTGCATTTTATCCCAGCAGTTTCCTCCTCATTCTCAATGCATACATACAACACTGAAAGCACAGGAGAGCAACCATCACGGCTTTTAGTTCCAGGATTTGACCTCACATGTTTGCAAGAGATGTAGGGAAAGTTCTGGCTGATCCCAGGATGGATGGAGCGTTTATAGTCAGACTGTGGGGATGGTTTATGTGTAATCTCACGGCCTATAGAGCTGTGGGAGGCTGGAGTACCCTCAGTAGAGGCGGAAAATCTATAAAATTTAACCATGCACCTGTTCATCATCCATTGCATCAGACTGGCAGTTTAAACCACAATCGCCATCACAGATTTCTGTGTGTTAACCTACTTTCTCTCATTCTTCTTCAACATTAATTGCCGGCCTCCTCTTGCTCTCTTCTTGTACTGATATCCAGTACAAAAGCTGCCTCTGCATGGCAGCAGTGCCCTCGTGAAAAGCCTTGGGATTGCAGTCTGCACGTCAGCTCCACAGTCAAGACACAGAAACCCACCACACTTCTGTGATCATTCGGAGGCAGTAAGTAGCAGTGAGACATGCGTCTTCCCTGTCGTTCATCCTGATCATCATTCTCCTACTGATACTGCCAGTCTCATCAATCCTGGTGTGTGCTGTGGTTGCCTCCTTTAGTCTTGCTTTTATTTCACACAGTTATTCCCATACCACCAGGCACAGATTTGGGTGCAATAGAGGTGGTGATTGTAGCTACAACCTCCTTACTAAAACCATCCATTGCTGTGCTGCTTCCAAACCAGCAACAGCCTCTATTTGCAAAAGTTGCAAGGAAAGAACAAAATTTTTTTCCCTTTCTGCATGTCTGACCTTTGTCACCTCAAAAATTTAACAGCTCCCCCGCTGAACATGTAAAACACAGCATTTTTCAATGAGTTTATCCAAATGTGAAGGGATTTTCATGATGACAGCTAAAATCACATCCATGATGCTAACACGACCTTCTCACCTAATTTCTGATCTCTGTGGCAGACCACAGTAATGATAAATCTTGTTGATGAGAGAGTAGGAGGAAACAGCTGATCTGTTTCAGCTTAACTTTTCCCACAAAACTGAACAGAAGTAGGCACAGACATGGAATATACAATCCAGATGACAGAACTGCAGCAGTAGTGCAAGTGACCCAAAACAGGGACGTATAATAAAATATGGTGCAACTTTTATTATAAGCTTCACTATTAATGTCATCTTTAAGTTCACTTTGTCAAACAGATTGCAACCAACCACATATGCAGCCACAGATTCACACCGCCCCTCTCTCTTTGCAATCAACATCATTGCGCTCATTAGTATTGAATTTAGACTTTTCTTTTTACTTTATAGGGAAATTGCAACAGGACTCGTTCCTCTCCTGGGTCCACACACTACCATTGCCATTCATACTAACTTTCAACCATGACCTTGCTTAGCCAAGGGGTGAGCATAAGGAACAGAGATAACCCTGCCCGCAAATCAGCCTGCCCGGCTGAGGCACCGCAACACAGCACCTGCCAGCTGGACGAGGGAGTCAGGAGGACAGGGAAGGGCAGACATGGAAAATGAGTGCTTGCTGCACTGGTGGGCTCCCCTTCCCCTGAATTTTTTTGCACTAACACGGTCACTGCTGTGCCATGCTTTCTACTCAGAAAAGACTTACCACATCCCTATCAAAGATGCAGGAGGAGACGATGGTTGTGGCTGTGGCAGAACAGTGCTGGGCCAGCGCTCAAACCTCAGGGAAACCCAGAAATGTCAACATCCACAGTCCCCACTGGCTCACAGCTTCACATGGCTGACAGCTCAGGTCACCCTGCAGCCCCGGCCACTCATCACACTTGACCCAACACAGCGAGTCAAGAGGTAATTGCTCGTGGGCCGCAGATGGCTGAACCATGGGCCAGCTCCCCCTCCGCAGGCACAGCAGGGAGCGGTGGAGGATCTTATGCTTTGGCCTCAACCTTGAGAGAGGGGTGGCAAAGAAAGATGCCAGGGTGTATGCCATTTGTGAGCAATTTTGTCAGCAAAGTAGCTTCCACACTCCTGCTTATATTTGGAGATGGTCTGAACAAAAGGGCATATGAAAAGCCAAAAGAGGTAATGGTTCAGAAATAAGCCCAGAATAGTGTATTTTACAATATCTACATCACATGTATATGGACCAGGGTCTAAAGGGAATGCTCTTTGCTCTTTGCCCCTACTCAAGGGAGACACATAAAGTAAGCATGCCCAGACAGAGCAACTGAAGTCATGCATCCAGGCCAGGGCAGTCCTGGATTTACCCTGAGGATGCGACAAAGGCATGCACATACACCCATTCATGTTGCTTAATGAGGCATGTGCTCTGTGTCCCATAAGGATGTTAAGGAGGGAACAGCCACATCATCCTCCCTCCCTGTCACAGCTGCATGCAGCCCTGACTGGAAGACTGGGAAAAGCTTTACATCTCCCCGTGTTTGGATCCTGGCTTTTTTTTTTCTTCATGCATCTCTGATCTGAGGTTACTTTCTCTGTTTATCCCATTGAAAATATTTTTATGCTTAAAAGAAAAAAAGGGAGAGGCTTAAGTGCAAGTCTGTTTCTGACAAAGTTAGTAGGATTCAGCTTTGAGGTGCAGATGAAACACTCGCAATCCAGCCTGACAGAAAGGCAGCCTTAGCAAAACACTCTATGCTCAGCACAAAAAAAGATTCTAAAGTTGGGCTAAAATGTTGCACCTTGTGGCCACGAGCCATGAGACAAAGAAGAGGTGAAGAAAATATCTCACATTCGCTGATCAAGAAAATAAGTTCTGTGTTAGTAGAATATTCCTTTTTCTGGGGGGAAAAAAAAAGAAAAAAAGAAAATAAGAAAAAAAAGGATGTTCAGGAAGCCCTCTTATTTGCATGAATGATTTTATACTCTGATTACCAAAATACACCACAGAGAGTGCCTTCAGAGGATCCCAAAATGCTTTTCAAGCTATAAATGTTAAGGAATGACTTCACTTTGGGCTGAGGGCCACCTGCTCTGGGTTGTAAAGCTGCAGCAATACACTGCAGAAATACAGAGAGTTACGGGAGAGGCTTTCACTAGGTATAAACCTTCAGAGCAGAATCCAACCTGGGGGGAAAAAAAAGAAAAAAAGAAAATAAGAAAAAAAAGGATGTTCAGGAAGCCCTCTTATTTGCATGAATGATTTTATACTCTGATTACCAAAATACACCACAGAGAGTGCCTTCAGAGGATCCCAAAATGCTTTTCAAGCTATAAATGTTAAGGAATGACTTCACTTTGGGCTGAGGGCCACCTGCTCTGGGTTGTAAAGCTGCAGCAATACACTGCAGAAATACAGAGAGTTACGGGAGAGGCTTTCACTAGGTATAAACCTTCAGAGCAGAATCCAACCACTAACTGTCTGGCAATAGAAGGAAACCTTTTCAACGACCAGCTTACTCCCTAATTGCCTGGTTTTTTTGTACCTTGCCCTGATAATTCTGGCACTGCCATCAGCAGAAAATAAAGGTCCAGCTCCTTGCAGGTGTGAATCCTTTGGAGCCAGCTGACATCCAATGAGTATCCCATCCAAGGGGCTGAATTACTGGACCATTAGCAAGTCAGTCCTCTGTTCCTATGAAGCAAACATTTTACCCAGCCGATACTTCAGGGGCCCTGAGAGAGACAGAATGGATTTACTCAATTAGAATTTGGCCAACACATTGCATTTAATGAAGCTACTTTTAGGAAAAGTGCCAAAAAAGCAATCTTTATTGACCACAAGTGGCCACAGGCTCTGCTTTGCAGCTCATCCAAATGCCAAATGCTGCAGTGCTCCAGCTCACATCCTCTCCTCAGAAAGGATGAAAGGCAGAGCACCATTTCTTCAACCACTTCACCCACTTCCTGCAGCTCTTCGCTCTTTCTCACACTTCTCCCACTCAATGACGGGTCTAAACCTATTCTGCTTACTGCAGCTTGCTGGATAGACCTTGTTAAAAATAGAACAAAATATGATTAGATTCAGGTTTCATTTCACATGAGATCTAGGTCAGGGCTGACAATACCATTTGAGCTGCTGCAACAGCTCTCTGTCTCCAGAACGGGGGAGGTCCTGCTCCTCTCACCAGTTTATGGCTCTGCAGACCCTCCTCTGCACCAGCTGCGGCGCTTGTCAGGCTCTCTAATGAACGGATCTAACTCACTAGCCCAACAGAAAAATAATCCAACTAAGGAAAAAAGGATTATTTTCCAGCATGTTAGAGTGTTGATGGATAAAGTGGGAATAGTCCTTCTGGCAGCAGCAAGCTATTAGGTCAGCTCAGGTGTACCGAAACCCTGCTCACTTACTACTTAATCGCAGCACAACCTAAAGTGTGTTCTTCCTATTGCCACAGCCGGAGACAGAATACAGGACCAGATGGACGACTGTTGTGAGCAGCAGGGTATTTGTTATTTCTTAAAGACTAGCTACCACCAAAGGAGTACTCCTTCCCCTACTTCTACTGGATGTCACAGCCTCCTCTCCTGTTTGGATGCTGGCACCCCTCTGACCCAGCTGTGGGCTGGTTTGGGGTTTAACCTGGCAGAAACCCAACCTTGCAAAAGAAAAAAAAATATTTTTTTGCTGGTGTGGCTCCCAAAACTGGCTTACTACGGGGTTGGGGTGCTAGTGCTTCACTCAGTGCAGAAGCTGAGAGGAGCCGAGGGCTTTTGAGCATCCATGTGCCCCCGCACATCAGCAACGCTCAGGCCATGAATAGCTCCTCTGGCAGATCACTCTTATTTCACATCACTTCCAGTTTGCAAAGGTGGGCAGTTTTCTAGGCCAAAAAAGCTACCTCGAATGGCAGGCTGTGGCAGCATCTGCCTTTGCAGCCCAGAGGGAAAAGGGCTGTATGACACTGTGGACCCCTTAAAGAAAGGGTTACGGTCTAGGCACTGGGGGACTGGAGAGGCCTCTGAGGTCCCATCACCATGTGACAGCTCAGCGAGGCATGGGCACCTTACCAAAATGGTAACAGGGCTGGGAGAACTGGCTTGTGCAACTCAGGCACACGGACCACGCCAGACCTCACCTCACCTTTCAAGGTCCCTCCTAGCTTTATCATTCTATGATTTGCCAAGTGTCAGCAACATTAAAGTTGGGCACTGTGATGCTCAGTCCCCTTTTCAATCCATCCCTTTGGAGGGTATTACTAAAACAACAACTACAAAAAAAGCAATAGCTTTTTTTAAAATCAGCATTTGCTGAGATTTGTCGGTTTTCTGGAATTTCTGTTTTCTCAGTTTAGGTGGTCCCGGCGCCCTACGGCTAACGCCAGAAAGCTTCAGCCTCCAAACTGCCAGCTAGTTCAGTTTCTGAAAAACAAAGTCACAAGCTGAACACCTCCAGTGTCACAGCAATCGTACACAGAAAAAACCTTAAGCAAGTCCCAAGGGGAGAGTCAAGTTGTGCTAGTCATCATGTTACTCAGCTATCTCTTCCCGGGTGTTTCCACCAGTTACCACAGAATTAAAAATAAAATGCCGGCTCTAGCAGTAACATGACTTACAGCTGCTTCCCCTGTTCCCCTGTTCAAGGCATCACTCCCACCCACGTGCTGCACCCGCTGCCCTTGCCAGTGTGCTGCTGCAAGGCTGCACCTGAACTGGGTCGCTCAAACAATCCAGATTAAAAATATTCCCCCCCTGCACCAAGAAGAGCTAATTTTAACTCAGATCATTGCAGTGATCCAGTTGGGGGTTTTGGTGATAGTATCTCATGAAACTATGACCTGAATTCTGGTCACAATAACTGCTAATTGAACTTCACCCATCCTTTGCTCATAAAGGAAGCCACACATTTGGATGTTAACTCTGGAGCATAATGCTGTTCTCAGAGTTAATGGTAGCCTTTCCATTGACTGTTTTAGCAGAAAACTCCTGGACTGAAAACAGAACTTGAAAAGTTGTATTTTAAATCTCAGTCTGACCCTCTACACAAAAGATGGGGAAGACACAATACCCAACACACGACGATAATGACCAGCTCCAGTGTTTGGAACTGTGCATTACATCTTCTGCTCACAAAGAAAATTAAAGCTCTCCTGCTTCCATATGGACGCCCTGGGTTCTCACACACGAGAACAGGTCATGTGCCAGCAGTAAGGTGATTGCTCACACTTCAAGGATCATTTCTTTGCTCCCAGTCATCCTGGTAGATCCTAATTGGCAAATTCCCTCAGCAATATGAATGAACTGAGTTTCTTTCTTTCTTTGCTTAGTGTACTACAAAATGTTATTAAATCAGTGTCTATAGACCACAGTATCTCAGAACACAAAAGATTCCTCTTTCTGTTACACCGGAGGCTGAATGTAATGTAAATAAAATGAGGCATTTGTTTCGAAGAAAGGAAGAAAACAGTGTGGTCCATGTCATTTTTATTAGAAGCAGCCTTTTTTTTGGGTTAGTAATGCAGTGTTACCTCCTGAAATTCAGGGTCACATCTGAATTACATCAACTGGAGACAGTTTTGGTTTTAAGTTTGTGCTGCTAGACCATTGCTAGACTGCCAGACCATTGCACAAAACCATACTTTTGACTGGTGCTATTCTGTACAGCTAGAAAGTCTGTTCAGAAAAGTCTTGATGACAGAAATAGCAGCTTGACATAGGGTCAGGAAGAGATGGACCTGCCACCATGAGAGATGTCTTACTCAGCAGCAGTTCTCTGCACCTGCCAGGGTCAATCCCTTCCTCTTCACCTATCATTTTCTGCATCACTAAATACACCCACAACACTTTAAAATATAGATTAAAATGACTGCCATTTACAAGCATGGTACACAACAGCATGATATGTTCAGCTGGCTCCCCAGAAAGAAGATCAAACTTCTCCTGCTATAAAAGATCACATTTACCTTGTGTGTGCAGAACAGTGTCATTAACCCACCCAGGTCTTCCACATCTTCAGTTTATCATGTTTGCCATTACCTATTTCTATGTCTCTATCTCTATCTCTCATGCCAACAGAGAGATTCTTGATGGAACACCACTTCATCCGCAGTTACCGGTGTATTTAACATACACCATACTAACATCTTAATTATATATTAATGTAACATATCATATGATGTAGCATGTTCTATTATGGCTACAAAGCACATAGACCTGCAGAGCTGTAGTAAGACATTTTAATGGTGTAAGCTTTGTAACACCACAGCTGCAGGGACAAAGTGCAGCATCGCTGCTCCGCTTGGTGCCCTTCTACCCCAGGGAGGAGCTGGGATCCTCACTACGCCCTGGAGAATCCCACTGGCACTGGTAGATAGCAGGGGGAGACATACAATGTGGACACCAGGCTGTGCACCTGAAACCCCTGCAATCTTTGCATTATAATCCCTGCTCTTCAGACCCTGAGTCTCAGACAAATGAATGATCTTTCTGCCTCAGCTTCCTGCATGTAAAATTGGGGTAGTGAATGTGGTTGCGAGTTATTTTGAGTGCAAGCTTGAGTAGAAACATTTAATTCTCAGTAAGATTGTCTTCATCTAATTTAAAATGCCATAAAAAATTATAATCATAGAATATTTTATGTTGGTAGAGACCTCTAGAGGTCACCTCCCCTTCCAAAAGGCAGCAGGACCAATTTTAAAGTTACCTCAGGTTGCTCAGGTCCTGTCAGTTTTGAATATTTCCAAGGACAGAGATTGCACACCTCTGGGTTCCCATGTTTGATTACCTTCACAGTGAAATTTTTTTCCTTCTATCTAATCTTCCTTGGTGCAGCCCGTGCCCTTGGCTTCTCGCCTTGCCACAATGCACCACTGTCTTCTCCATAGCCTCCCATCATTAGTTGAAGACAACAGTTCATTCCCCCTGAGCCTTCTCCAGGCTGAACAAACCCAGCTCCCTCAGCTCTTCTTCTGTTGAGATGACATGGGACACCCTTATTTCATGACAAGAGAGCCCACGTACACACTTAACTGCAGCAGTGAGTTCCCTGCCTGCTCGAGCTGCTGCTATCTAAGCGAAGCAGCCACCGCTCCCCATTCATCCCCCAGTCTTCCCAGTACCTCGCCATGAACTCCACCACAGCTTAACCCCTCACCGATTTTGCCAGCGTACCAGCTCGTGTGATCATTTCCTAACCCAGTCTGGTGAAAACGCATCAGACAGCTTTAGATTTAGTTAGGAAAATGCTCAAGCAAACCAGATCATTTTGACCTCACTTTGCTTGGGGGATGACTACGTAGGCAACTGTGCCAGCTGAGTAAAGGAGCAACCGCTGGCAAACAGGTGGGCTCATCCAGGTCCGTTGGGAATGCAAAATCCTCACCCGCCTGCAGCTGCAGCTCCAACAGGATGTGTGACACAGCATCAGCTACTTGGGCCCTCCCTCCCGTAGGCTCAGGTTCCTACGCTTGATGAAGTTCTTCTCCTGAGGCTTTGGCAAATCTTTCCGAGTCCTCAGCAGAATAGTAATTGTTAACAATAACATTTACACAGGTGTATGAACTTTCCGCATGTACTGTTCCTACTTGCCAGGCAAAATGTTACAAGGATTACTAAGAAGAAAAATGCAGCACCATGAGAACTTGGTTAAAGCGCACCCATGCATGTTACATTCACCAGAGAAAACAAAACAAGCAAAAGTCTTTTCTAATCCTTAAAGGTTAAGAAGCTTAAGTCAGTCTTGTAAAGACATTTTGGCTTATTATACCAGCCTACCACTGAGAAGCCGCTCTAGAATAGAATAGAATAGACTAGACTAGACTAGACTAGACTAGAGTATTTCAGTTGGAAGGGACCTACAACGATCATCTAGTCCAACTGCCTGACCAATTCAGGGCTGACCAAAAGTAAAAGCATGTTGTTAAGGGCATTGTCCAAATGCCTCTTAAACGCTGATAGGCCTGGGGCATCGACCACGTCTCTAGGAAGCCTGTTCCAGCATTTGACCACCCTCTCGGTAAAGAAATGCTTCCTAATGTCCAGTCTAAACCTCCCTTGGTGCAGCTTTGAACCATTCCCATGTGT